GAGTGAGCATTGAGCATGGCAGTAAATATAAAGGGAGAAAACGAGTGAGGTAGTAGGCTTCTTTTTTTCTTTTTCTTCTTTACGAAAGGAAACCGCGTTGTGTTGAAGTCACATGGAAAAGCAAAGGAAAGTGAGAGGAAGGTGCAGGCAAGGCTGCAGATGTGGAAATGGGATGACAACTTTGGAGATAAGGACAATTTACCCACCCATACGACAACTGCCGTCATTAGTTTTTTTTTTTTTTTTCGTTTTTTACAAACGTCTATAACAAGTTTAAATTTTTTAATTCTTTATTTATAATAAAATCAGTAAATACTAATTATTAGTTTTATAGAATTAAATATTAATTATTGATTAAATCTAGAATAAAATAAGAGAAAATTTGTTTATCAAATAATAAGATTTTAAAATAAAATTTATAAAATTTTATACAAAATTTAAATAATTTTCACTTTGTATAATAGTTTTTATTTTCCACTTTATTACATGCTTATAAAATTACTTAAAAATAAAAATAAAATATTGTTTTTAAAAAACATTTAATATAATTGATATCTTTTAAATACCTAAAAATATTATAAATAAAAATAATTCTAAAGAATTTTTAAAATATTAAAATAAAAATTCTTTCAAAGAAAAATTAAATTAAAAATTTTATATTTTAAAATAAAAATATAAAAATTGTTAACTAATCAAATGAGAGAAATAATCAAATTATATCAATTTATATAAAAATATGATGAAGTGTTGTACCACGGTGAAAAAAGAATTATAAAACTTTTAAATATAGTTGAATGTAAGAAAAAGTATTAGAAGAAGTATTTTAAGGTAAATAATTAAATTACCAATATAAATTTTAAATTAATTGTTTTTGTTATAAATATATAAGAAAAATAGTTAAAAAATACTTTTAAGGATAAAACAAATGTAAGGTAATGTTTAGTATGAGATAATCACTTTAAAAATCATAGTGATTTGCACGTAGTGATGTAAATATTGTGTTTGGTAAGCATTTGATGATTTTACGTGGTGGTGATCTTAGATAACTGAGAGTGATAAAATTATTATCTTGGAAGGTAATTTAATTCATATACAAAAAGATTAGAAATTTTTATCAACGAAGTGAAGTAATGTATAAAATTAATAATAGTCAATATTATCTATTTAATATGTGAATTAAAAACTTACTTCTTCTTAAAATTATAATTTTTTTATATTTCAAATTAATATTTATTGTAACAAATTAAAAAAAATATGTTTTCTCTTTCATTTTTTAATACTTTATACATAATTTAATTTTTTTTGTTTTTCTTTTATTATGAATTTAATATTATATTTTTTATTTTCTAATTCAAATATTCTTTACATAATTTATATTATAAAAATTAATTTATTTATCAATAAATATATTTAATAATTTAATAATATTTTATTATAGAATAAATAGAATATTACTAATTTTGACAAATTATTATCTTTAAACAATATTAAAATTATTAATTTGTATAACTATTATAAAATACATGATTTTTTGCACTTTTAAATAAAATAATATTTGATTTTTAGTAATACCAAACATATTAATATTTAATTCCTAAGAATTAGTTATTGTTAACCCAAAAAAGTGATATCAAGTCATGAGTGATAATAAAATTATCTCGATAATTACATTATCATGATGATCTTACAAAAGATACCAAAAGCTACTAAAAAGAAATGATATTTTGGAATAAAAATATTAATAAAAAATTTATTAACTTAAGCAAGTGAAAGAAACCATAAAATTCATATCATATAGCAAAAAATATGTTAGAAGTGTTATCACACCTAAGAAAGAGTTATAATAATTTTAAAAGTAATAAAATGTAAGAACAATAGTAAAAAAAAAAAAATACTATTGAAATGTAAATGATTAAGTGAGTAATGTAAAATTTTAATTAATTATTATTTTTATAAATATATAAGGAAGATACCTAATAAATAAAAAAAATACAGGCAATGCAAATAGGTGTGAGGATGTGTACCATTTTAAGAAAAATAGGTAAGAAATGTCATAATACACTAAGAAAGATCTATGACAATTCTAAATGTATTGGAAAATAAACAAGTGTGAACAAACAAAAAATTAGAATAATTTGGTGTAAAATGGGTAAAAGGTGTCATGAGACACTAAGAAATGTTATAACAATTTTAAACATAATAGAATGTAGGAATAGCTATAAGCCGATAGTATTGTAACATAAATAATTATGTTGGTAATGTAAAATTTTAACTAATTATTATCTTTTAAATATATAAGAAAAATAGCTAAAATTGAAAAAAAAAAAGTAACGTAAAGAGTGAGAAAAAATGTAAAATAAGTATGATTAGGTCTAAAAATGGATAACAAGTGTCCTAACACACTACGAAAAAATTGTTATAATTCTAAAGGAAAATAGATAAAATTGAAAAACAAATAAGTAATGTAAAAAGCGAGAAAAAACATAAAATAAATATCATTAGGTCTAAAAATGGATAAAAAGTATCCTAACACACTAAGAAAAAGCTATTATAATTCTAAATGTAATTAAAGGTAATAACAATCATTAAATAAATTATTGTAATGTAAATAATTAAGTTACCAATATAAAATTTTAATTAATTATATTTAAACATATATGAAAATAGCTAAAATTTACAAAATAAGTTGGTAACATAAACAAGTAAAAAGAAATGTAAAATTAGTAACATTTAGCGTAAAATGAGTATAAATTGTTGTAATACACTAAAAAGAATTATGACAATTTTAAATGTAATGGAAAGTAAGAACAATCATAATAATATATTATTGTAACATAAATAATTATTTTGGCAATGAAAAATTTTAATTAATTATTATTATGTAAATATCTAAGAAAATAGTTAGAAATTAAAAAGTAAATTGGTAGCATAAACAAATGAGAACAAATATAACATTAGTATCATTTGACATAAAATGGGTAAAAAGTGTTATCACACATTAAGAAAATATTATGATAATTCTAAACAGAATGAAAAGTAAAAACAACCTTAAGAAGATATTATTGTAAAATAAATAATTATGTTGACAAGATAAAATTTAATTAATTATTGTTCTACTACAACAAAATTACGATATATTAATGCTAAAAAAAGTCGGTATAGCTCAATAAACCTTTTACCGATGATTAAAATGCCTGTTCCAATGACATTTTAGTCATCAATATGTCTCTTGTCGATATGGGTTTATACCAATAGATTTTTAACTGTCAAAATAGAGATATATTGATGGCTTGAGTCCATTAATAATTGTATAGCTATTTATATAACATCTACAGTGTGTTTCTGACATTATACTTTTTGTTGGCCTTGAATTGATTAAGAGTTTTGATTTGACAAAATAAAAATTTGCCAAACTTGTTTCAATCTTAATCTTGTTTAAGCTTAAATTGAACATTTTTCCACCCTTCTATCTTACCAAAATTCATTTGAGAACCAAAACAACTCAAATTCTCGGAACAAAACATGATTTATACAAGTTTTGATAGAAGGGATCGATCCCCTCAAGGAAGGGATCAATCCCTTCCATTACTAGATCGATGCCCTAGTAAAAGGGATCGATCCTATTTTCAACCAGAACCGAAAGTTCTCAAGATTTGGTAAAAATTGATCGATCCCCTTCCTGTAAGGGATCGATCCCCTCATTTAAGGGATCAATCACTTTTTCATATAGAATGCTTTCTTCACGTAATTTTCTAGAAAAGGGATCGATCCTCTTACATAGAGGATCGATTACCTAAGGTAAGGGATCGATCTCCTCTTAAAGGGCTTGATCGGTTGTTCAAACAGAATGTCCCCAAGTGTGAAAACCCAGAAAAGGGATCGATCCCCTCACATAGGGGATCGATCACCTAAAAGAACAGATCGATCCCTTTAAACAAGGGATCGATCGGGTAAGGCAAAATAGGCATAAAATCAAGCTTTCTCAAACATGAACCAATCGATCACTTAAGGGAGGGGATCGATCCCCTGAAGGCCTGAAACTTTTAACGACTATTTTCTGTCCAAAATTTATGCAGGTTTAAAGCATTAAATGCAATCCAACGGCTCTTAACTTTTTTCTAAGTATAAATCAAGTATTCTACTATAGATCAAGAGTAACAAGAGCTAAAGAAACTTATTGCTATTCACCTACCAATCTACTCAAGTATTCAAAGCTATAAAAAAAGAAAAAGTACAAAATTTATATAAGTTTTTCTCTACTTTCTTATCTATATATTTGTGTACTTCAACTTAGCAAACACCTAGCCCTTGTGAGGTTCTTAGAGTTTGCCAAACACTTTTGAATTTTATGTATTGTGAGTGTGTAATCTTAAGGTGGAAGATAACCATTAAGAGTGTATGTTGTTGAGTTTGTAAATCTTTGTGAAAGCTTAGTTCTAATCTTCATCAAATAGTGGATTGAACTCCTTAGCAAGAGAGGTTAAAGGAGAGGACGTAGGTGCCTAAGAAAGGACCGAACCTTTATAAATCTTGATGTTAAATTCTCTAACCCTATCTTTTGTTTATATTCATCTATTGTGCTTATCTATTTTGATAATTTGTGATTATTGAATGTTATCTTTGAAAATTTTATTAAAACCAATTCACCCCATCTTGGTTTTTCAAGTCTTTGAGCTAACAATTGGTATCAGAGCTAGTACTCTTTCTATAGGTTTAATAGCCCAAAAGTGATCTTGAAAATAGGTTAAAGAAATATGGCAATCAATGTGGAAAAATCATCCTTAAGCTATAACAACTATACCTACCAATAAGCGATGTGCCTCATGACAAATGAAACAGTTGTAACATCTCTTGGAAGTTGAAGGCATTCAATTGTTAGACCTCCTCTCTTTGCTGGTGACAACTACTCCTATTGGAAGACTAGGATGAGGCTGTTTATTCAAGCAAATGATTATGAAGTCTAAAGGGTCATTACAAATGGTCCTAAAATTCCAATGAATATGGTGGATGGTAAGGAGGTGATAAAGCTAGAGAGTGAATGGGATGTCAATGACATGAAGATGGCTCAACTCAATGCCAAAGAAATGCACACATTCTTTTGTGCATTGAGACCATGTGAGTATAATAGAGTCTCCTTATGTGAGAATGTAAAGGAAATTTGGGATAAGTTAGCTGTCACCTATAAGGGTACAAACCAAGTGAAAGAGACAAAAATAAGCATACTTACTCATGATTATGAGTTGATCAAGATGAAATCTGATGAAACCATCAGTGAGATGTCAAATTGCTTCACCGACATCATTAATGGTTTAAAGGCTCTTAGGAAGACATTCAAATGTGGATATGGTAAAGAAAATTCTCAATAGTCTACCAAAGAATTAGAAAGCTAAAGTGACATCCATTGAAGAGTCCAACGATCCTCATACATTTTTTTTGGATGACCTAATGGGCTCTCTCCTCACTTATGAAATGAAGATAAAAAAGAGACAAAAACCAGTCAAAAAAGGTGACATTGCTCTCAAATCTACCTTTCAAAAGGATAAAGAAAATTTTGCTCAAGAGGAGGATGATGAAGATGAAGAGATGGCCATGTTTGCAAAGCGATTCAAGAAGTTCATGAGAATGAACAAGTTTTCAATTAGGAGAAGACCATAAAGGAAGATGACTAAAGGAAAATCAAGTAGAAGAGAAAAGGATCAAATTATTTGCTATGAATGCAACAAATTAGGTCACATTAAACTTGATTGTACTTTATGAAAAAAGCAGAACATGACCAAGCCAAAGAAGAAAGCTATGGTAGCAACATGGAGTGATAGCGACTTTTTCGATGATGAATCAAAAAGAAGAAAGTAGCCAACCTATGTCTCATGACTCTTGATGAGCTCAAGGTAACCTCTAATCCATGTGATTCAAATTCATACTCATTTGATGAACTACAAGATGCCTATGATGAATTAGCTATAGAATTTGAGAACATAAGCATGAAATATAAGAAAATGATCAGTAAATTGAAACTAGAAAATGAGTCATTGACTAAAGCAAAAGAAGACTTAGAAAAGGAAGTTGAGCTCTTGAAGGTAAATGTCAATGACTTGACTAAGAAAAATGAAAAACTGCATAATTCATTTTTTAGATTTTATATGGGTCATCAAAAACTCAACGACATGATAGAAACACAAAGAGCTTTCTTTGATAAAGATGGATTAAGTTATAATGGTGACAACAAAGAGACTCACTTGAAGAAAGTCACTTATAGAGGTAAGCTCATTAGGAGAGTGTGGATTCTAAAAGGAGTTAGCACATCTCAAGATGAGGCTACTAAAATGAAGTGGATTTCAAAAGGCACAAAAATTATTAGTACTAACTCTCAAGGACCCAAGAAAATTTGGGTACCCAAAATAAAAATTTAATTATGTTTTTGTAAGTGGATGAGCATTGCTACAAAGCAAATTCCAGCAAGAACAATCAATGGTACCTTGATAGTGGATGCTTAAAACACATGATCGGAGATAAAACTCTCTTTAAGGACTTGAAAGCAAAAAGTGGAGGAAATGTTACATTTGATGACAACTCAAAAGGCCAAATTGAAGGGATTGGCTCCATTGGTAACAATTCATCTACTTTTATTGAAAATGTTTTACTTGTGAAAGGTCTCAAGCATAATTTACTTAGCATTAGTCAATTATGTGATAAAGGATTTAGAGTTGTGTTTGAATCCATGTGCTGTCAAGTAATTGATATCAAAACTAACAAGCTTGGTTTTGTTGGACACCGTCAAGGAAACATTTATGTAGCGCATCTAGATGACCTATCCTCTAAAAATGTTTGTTTTATGGCTCAAAAATAAAATGAGAGTTGGATTTGGCATAAAAGGCTTGGACATGCAAGTATGCATGTAATTTTAAAACTTTCTCAAAATAATTTGGTTGTTAGTTTGCCAAAGTTGAAATATGAAAATGACAATGTTTGTGATGCATATGCTTAAGAAAAACATAGAATAATTTTTTTCAAACCTAAGAATTGCATTTCAACTATTAGACTTCTTCAACTATTGCATATTGATATTTTTGGCCCTACTAGAACAATGAGTCTTAGTGGAAACCAATATGGGTTTGTTATTGTTAATGATTTCACTAGATTCACATGGGTTCTCTTTTTGCATTCAAAGAATGAGGCTTTGGAAAAATTCATCACTTTTAGCAAACAAATACAAAATGAAAAAAGTTATTCAATTACTAGTATTAGAAGTGATCATGAAAAGAAATTTGAAAATCTAGGCTTTAATATACTTTGTAGTGAAAATGGTATTAGCCACAATTTTTCTTCTCTTAGAACTCCTCAACAAAATGGGGTAGTAGAATGAAGAAATAGAACTTTAGAAGAAATGGCTAGAACCATGCTTTGTGAAAACAATCTACCTAGATATTTTTGGGCGAAAGCCATAAATACTTCTTGTTATATTATAAATAGAGCTATGATTAGGCCAATTTTGAAAAAAACCCCTTATGAACTTTTTAAAGGAAAAAGGCCTAACATAAGTTATTTTCATCCTTTTGGTTGCAAATGTTTTATTTTGATAAATGAAAAAGATGATCTTGGAAAATTTGATGCAAAAAGTGATGAAGGAATTTTCGTAGGATATTTTTTGAATTCAAAAGCTTATAGAGTTTTCAATAAAAGAACATTAGTGGTGGAAAAGTCTATGCATGTTATTTTTGATGAATCTAACCCACTTCTAAGAAAGGTGTTTCTTGATGATGATGATGTAAGTATACTTCAAGAATGGATCAATGATGAACCTTATGACATTGAGAAAAAAAATCAAAAGAAAAAAGATGAGTTTTTAGAAGAGCCACAACACATAAAGAGAGAGCCAAATCATCTTAGAGAAAAGAGGTATGTCAAAGATAGTGAAATCATTGGTAATCCAACTTAAGGGGTAAGAACTAGATCTTCTTTTAATGTGTGTAATTATGTTACTTTCCTATCTGATATTGAACCTAAAAATATAGATGAAGCATTAGGAGATGATCATTGAATTTTGGCCATGCAGGAAGAATTAAACCAATTTGAAAGAAACCATGTATGAAATCTTGTACCTAGGCCTAGTGACCATCCCACCATAGGCACCAAATGGGTCTTTAAGAATAAAATGGATGAGAATGCGAATATCATTAGAAATAAAGCTAGATTGGTAGCTCAAGGGTATAGGTAAGAAGAAGGAATAGATTATGATGAAACCTATGTTCCGATAGCAAGGTTAAAAGCCATAAAGATGTTACTTGCATTTACATGTTTTAAAAATTTTAAGCTTTTTCAAATGGATGTTAAGAGTGGATTTCTTAATGGTTTTATAAATGAAGAAGTGTATGTAAAGCAACCTCTCGGTTTTGAAAATCCAAAATTTCCAAATCATGTTTATAAATTGACAAAAGCATTATATGATTTAAAACAAGCTCCTAGAGCTTGGTATGAAAGATTGTCAATTTTTTTGATTGAAAATGGTTTTAATAGAGGAAAGGTTAACACTACACCTTTTATTAAAACAAAAGGTAAGGACATTCTCATAGTGCAAATTTATGTTGATGATATTATATTTGGTGCTACTAATGAAATTCTTTGTCAAGAATTTGCTAAGATTATGTAAGGTGAATTTAAAATGAGCATGATGGGAGAACTCACATTCTTCTTGGGACTACAAGTAAAGTAAACAAAAAATGGCACCTTCATTAATCAAGCCAAATACATCAAGGATTTGCTTATAAGGTTTGAATTGAGAGAATCAAAGCCTTGTTTAACACCAATGAGCACCTTAACAAAGCTTGACAAGGATGAATGAGGTAAATGTGTTGACTCTAAACTATATAGGTCTATGATTGGTTCATTGCTATATCTTATTGCTAGTAGACTTGATATTATGTTTAGTGTATGTTTATGTGCTAGATTTCAATCATCTCATAGAGAAACACATTTGTCTACTATTAAAAGGATTTTTAGATACCTTAAGGACATCCTAAATTTAAGATTATGGTATCCAAAAGGCTCTTCCTTTGCTTTACATGCCTATTCGAATGTGGATTTTGGTGGGTGCAAAATTGATAGAAAAAGAACTTCTGATATTTGTCAATTGTTTGGAAATATGCTCATATCATGGTTTTTCAATAAACAAAATAGTGTTGCTCAATCTACAACTGAAGCTGAATATGTAACGACTGGAAGTTGTTGTACCTAGGTTTTGTGAATTAAGCAACAATTAGAGGATTTTGGAATAATCATGGATCATATTCCCATTAAATGTGACAATACTAGTGTCATCAACCTCACTTAAAATCCAATTCAACACTCTAAAACCAAACATATTGAAATTAAACATCATTTTATTAGAGATCATGTTCAAAAGGGTGACATTGTACTTGAATATGTTGACACCTTGCATCAACTAGCTGATATCTTCACAAAACCTCTTGATAAGGATAGATTTTATGCAATGAGAGGTGAACTTGGCATGATGAATGCTCCTTGAAATGAAATTCTTGATGTTATCATGTATGGTGCACTTTTGATTGATTAAATGTATGTTTTTCTGAATTTTTCTTTGGTTTGTGCATGATTGTAAAATGCTTGTTTGAATGATCATATTGCATGGTTTTCAACATGCTACAGCAAAAACCAATCGATCCATTTTGGAATGGATCGATTGGTTCTTCACCCCGTAACCAAAGTAAAAAGAAAACATAGGGAACCAATCGATCCCCTTTGGATAGGATTGATCGAGTGTAAAGGCAGTAGCCAATTTCGTTGAACCCAGGCAAAATCGATCGATCCCTCTTGGGACAAGATCGATTAGGTGTGAAGGCAGTAGCCAATTTCACTAAACCCAAGAAGAATCGATTGATCCCCTCTTTGACAGGATTGATCGGGTATTCAACCAGTAGCTAAAATGACTTGGAAAGGTGCAAAACTGATCTATCCCCTTCAAACCCAATCGATCGATTTCATGCAAAGGTAAAAAATTGATCGATCCCCCACTTCACCTGATCGATTGATTCATGAATTTTGGGCATGATAAATTCAGGTTCTCACCTGTTTAGCCGATCCTTTCATCTTTCCTTTCCTATTCATCTTCTTTCCCAACTTTTTCTCTCTACACTATACATATTCCCATTAAAAATTGACTCATTCTCTTACAAATTTCTCTTGTAAACTCACTACCCACTATTTCTTACTTATCAAACTCATTTCCCATGGCACCCAAAATGAAAGTCATGGCTGGACGACAAAACCCTCCAAGAAAGGCTTCAAGCTCCACCATGAAGCCTTTTTTCAACCAAAATTTCAACAATCCCGATGCCAAGGAGTGGTATGA